ATAACTTCGCACAACTTCGCATAAACTTCAAACTGTAATTTCGTATGAATTTTGTATCTAATTTGTATGTATTCCAATTAACCGGAAATTAGCAGAACTTTTAAAAACTTAGCGATCTGTTGAGTTTAGATTTTGCTTCACATTTTCCTAAGTTACATTTTTATTGCACTGGTACAAATGGTTGTGCGAAGTTATGCGAAGTATGCATAATCAGACCCTTAACCTTGCGCGCTGTAGCACTTGACACTTAAACTTGTGCGTTATTTTTTTGTTTTTTCGAACCCTTGAACCGAACGGAAACCCCAGTTCAAAGACCAAAAAAACCGCTTGACGAACCAATTTCCGTGTGTCTACTATGGCTGCCGTATAAAATGTTCAATTGTACCATATTTTTCCCAGAAATATACCAAAATAGATAATAATGCTGAAAGGTTCTGTCCGAATTTGTCAGTTGATCGTTCAAACGAAAATGGGATAAATTTAAAAGCACATTTGTAGCTATATCTACTTAATTTTTGTGAAACGAGGAGATTATTTTATTTTTGAATGCGTCATGATGTGGTATCAAAAATATTGGTCAGAAAAAAATTTATTCATTCCGCGATAATTCATTTATAAGTTAAAAACATTTTTCCTGTACAAAAGTATTCAATAGTAAAAAATTCCAAATCGGGGACAATGCACCAAGCGGATATTGCAACTGTGAAAGTGATCAGCTGTTTCGAAGATTGCAAGTTTTTGCAAATTTTGCAAACTGCTCAGAATTTTTGCTGCTGGATGATTTTGTGAGAAAGTCAGAATGGCGTAAGTTCCACATTTTTACTGGTTTAGCGTTCAATAACTTTTTCTGATATTTTAGTCTTCCCCTCAATTTTACTCGCTATGATTCTTTTATTTTCTGGCTTCTAGTACTTACTGGAACATTTTATGAATAGACCTATTATGACAGCAACTTTTTTTTGATTTAAGTAAGAGTTTCGTTTTTAATAAACACCCACGTATTTACTTAAATAAAGTAGATAAAGATGACTATATTTTTATGCACAAAAATTCAAAACTCCAAGTGAATAGAGAGTGGTATTTCGACATAATTGTGGTGCAGTACCGTATCTTGACNCATTTTATGAATAGACCTATTATGACAGCAACTTTTTTTTGATTTAAGTAAGAGTTTCGTTTTTAATAAACACCCACGTATTTACTTAAATAAAGTAGATAAAGATGACTATATTTTTATGCACAAAAATTCAAAACTCCAAGTGAATAGAGAGTGGTATTTCGACATAATTGTGGTGCAGTACCGTATCTTGACAAAAATGTATCAAAAATGTCAATGTAGTACCAATGTACTTTTGGCTTCCAAAATGTACCAAAAAAATATAATTCTACCATCAATTTCATCACTGCTACAGATCCCCCATCGTTGTATTTGTAATCGAATTTCAGAAAAAAGTTTTCGTAGCGTTTTTGATGTTTTTCCGTTTTGTTTACATCGTCTTCTATCTCTTCGGAGTGGCTTTTTTAGCAATTTGGTGTGCTTTATGAGCGATTTTAATTTGAATTTTGTGATGATTTTATGAACTTTTTTTGCAAGTTGTCATCAAGTTTCACTATTTATATTTTATAATAAATACCAATCTAATCGCACTCAATTACCCCGCCGTTTTCGTTTTCTTTGTTTTTTTTTCATTCTTAGACACATGACAAAAACGCTCAGAAATTTAATTTTTCCTTCTTTTCCGATTGTGTGATCTTGTTAGATGCTTCATGTGAATTGGAATTGCTTTAAATTTCTATTCTTAAGCTGAAGGTACATAATTTTATTTACTGCGGCGTTGCTTTGATCCGTTTGTGTGTTGACGACGTTGAAAAATTGGCTGTTACACACATTGCGTTGTACCGCTCATTATTTTGTAAACAAAAAACAGCTGTGAAACATATCCACAAATCAAGAATGATAGAATACAAGATTGCGCCCATCAGAGAGGATTTTTGAGAATAACTTTTGTGTGAAGTCACACTGGTGCAATTCCGAAAGAGAAATGCCAAAACGTGAGCAAGAATGGAAGAAGAAGAAAAAATGTTGCAAGGAAAACGTAAAAAAGTTGCACGAGTGTGACGTCATACAAACAATGATTCTGTCAAATTCACTGAGAGAGCAATAGCGGTACCGTGATGGGCGCAACCTCTATTTCTCTCAATCGTGTCCCCAAATGTAATTTCAAATGTCAACGCATGAACCCTACAGAAAAGTAGTGAGTTGGTTTAATTTCGACAACGCATTCGAAAAGGCGTCGTCTGTAACAGCTGTCATACAAATACACGTATTCAATTTTATTTGACACTAACGGCGTGACGCGTTTGTCGGCGAACGCATGTTGTGTATCTTCACTTTTAGAGTAGCCTGATGGCAGTACGAATGGAAATTATAAACGCGAGTTTTAAGTTTTTTAAACTATAATTTTTTTATTCGGGTAGCTTTAGTTTTTTTAGCAGGGGTTAGTCGGAAAAAAATCCAGTTTAGCTTCTAGCTTTTTCTTAAAACTATTTAGCTTTTCTTTTTTTGCTCAAAATATTCCAGCAAGATCTGCAATTCACTTCCAAGTGAATTTGAGTCAAGTTCGCTTTGTATTCAAATTGGCAGAGGTTGAAATTCACTCGGAAGTGAATTGCAGAACCTGCTCGATTAACTACATACATTAATAGTGTTAAAATGTTAAATGCGGTTTTAGAGTTATTGACATTGCAAGGAATTGCGTTGCAGATGCGTTGGCCAGGAAATGTACCCCGGAGTTGGTTTCACAGTATTTATATTTAGTGACTGCATTGAGAGGATACTATAGCACTGATCCAATACTTTAAATTTTCAATAAAATTTTCAATTAAAAGAAAATGAATGAATTAAAAGTTGATTGCGAGCCAGGAACAATAAATCGCATGCGAAATGGTAATATTTACGGTGATACTTTAATATTTTTCGATATGAACTTGACAACGTACCATTTTTGTTTACTTTTGTGTAACTTAACACTTTTCATGATTTTACCAGGGCATGCAAAACGATGTCGTCAAAACACTGACCCATGTATTTTTGTTGCTAACTATCGTGTCGACTATCGTAGTGTCGTCAGCAGTTTGAAAATCACTATATTTTTTTGTGAAAGTACGATATTTGAAATTTTAATGAAATACAAAATTTGAAAATAAATTCAATAATTAATTTTTCCCCTGCTGCGTCAATAGCTACTGTAGCTGAATGGATGCGTTTTGGATTATTACCACCTTGTTGGTCTCGGGTTCAATTCACAGTGACAAGGATTTTTATTTTTTTAATTTATAGCACATTTTTATCTTCATTTTATACTTTATTGCAAAAAGGTAGCTAGGCAAAGGTGGGTCTAGCAGTCTCCAAAATATTTGTGAATATATTTTTTTAAATTGCTATAGATAGTGCTTCAGCTGGAAGTTGTGGAGGGTAAGAATTGTGAAGAGAAAATAACGGGCACTCAGTTGCAGGATGTAACGAGAAATATTGGAGATAAAATAACAGTGGTTTGATTTATTAGCAAAATTTAAAGCATACTTGAATGTTTACGATACTTTCGAAGGACGATGCCGTAGTTACTTTGTAAAAATGATTATTTTTGCCTACTGACTATTTATGTTCATATTTATTTATTATTCTTATTGTTCAGCTACCCACCAACGGAGCGCCCTTCCGTACATACCAACATATTTATTAAATTGCTGTTGATAGAGACAGAGACGGATAACGATACGGTGGTGAGTTTTAGTTAACACAAAAGGCCTATAATATAATTCGTGTCAACTGAGAAAGTCTCTGATTTTATGTCGGTGATTATTTGAAACATTAAATCTATGAATACTTAGTTCCGTTCGGTAATGCAACCGCAATTTTCAGTCAACTACTAATAGCCACCTTCGTTAAGGAATCCAGAGGACATCGTCGTTTAAAGTGCAAACCCCCGTATCGTCGTTCTGCAAACCATTCGTCCTGTAGCTCGTTTCTGTAACTCAGTGGAGAAATTGTCGACTGCTATTGGCTTTGTTCTAAACCACCAAGTTTTTGTCAATCGTTGAGACTTTAATGTTTCTATAACTCCGAAAACTCACCTATAGAGAAGTTCGTATTGAGTTGAAATTGAAGAGTAAATTTGAAAGTTTTGACATTTATTTTTGAGAAATGTGGTTGCCATAGTGTAATAAGCAAAGTGAAATCAATATATGACATATTTATTTTTTATACGCTTATATGAGAACGGTTTCGTCATTGCGTTAACCCATTTGAAACTAGCAACATTATAAATTAATTTCAAAATAAAAAAAATTTGATTTCTAATCAAAAAATAATTGTTTTAGAAATTAAAGAACAAAAAGGAAAAAAAATCGTTTAAAATGCCATGTGTATATGCAGAAGCACTCACAACAATGAGGTAGGTACATATTAGGGTGGCTCTTATTTGTCAAGTATAATTTTTTGTTTTTGCTACCCCTCCATTTAGTTCCTTTATATAAAAAAGTTAGCTGAGCGAAATTTTTTGTTAATCCGATAAGTGTAAAGTGTGCCCCTCGGCCCTCAAAATGCGAAATTCGCTTTTGTATTACTATTTTGAAATAACGGCGGTAATTCACATGTTCATGGCTATTCCCTTTTCTTTTTCAAGAGTAAATTGCAATTTTCTTGAGAAATAAATTTTATATTGACCTTTGCAAAAAAAAATATCAGTCGCCCATATCATTTGAAGTGAACAACGTGGCACAATGTCCCCACCTATACTACGAGAGAAAGTTTATTTGCTCGGGCATTACTCGAATGAAATTGTTGGAAACAAACTTCCATCGGTGAAACAAGCGTTAAATGTTTCATTTTTCAATTTGCGGGTGTGTAAGTTAACCATAAGGGGAAGTGCCTCACTAGTTGTGCGGGAAGTGATGATATATTGGGAAAAAGCACGAATTCCGACGCAAGATTTAAGGAACTGTATACCAAAGTTGGAAGCTCTGTATCAACAATGGAGGCAACTTCAAAANAGTTGTGCGGGAAGTGATGATATATTGGGAAAAAGCACGAATTCCGACGCAAGATTTAAGGAACTGTATACCAAAGTTGGAAGCTCGGTATCAACAATGGAGGCAACTTCAAAACGTGCTGGTAGATCGTCGGATGTTCATAAGAAACAAGCAGATTTCGTAGACAAACTTGAGGATCTTTTTGACATAGCGCACGCCAATGCTTTGAGTATCATTACGATTGAAGAAGACAAGCAGTTCTTAATTAATCAGCGGTTGAGAGGGCGGCCAGGGTTCATGTATGGAATTGATTACCAGCTAATTGCGAAAGAGGGACGACTTTCTGAACGAAAAATACGAGAGGTGAAGAAGAAGGAGCGAAGCGATCATGAAATGCAACAACTGAGTAAGTATCTAAGTCTTTATATGTATGTATGTTGATATTATTAATGGTTT